CCATCATATTTAAATGATAGTCGTGCTGGATACAGTATCCTTGGTTCAAGGCCCTTCTGTTTCATTGCATTAAGTATATCATGCCATTCTCTTCTGGCCTGTAGGGTTTCTGTTGAGAAGTCTGATGTTAGCCTGATTGGTTTTCCTTTATAGGTGACCTTTTTCTCTCTAGCTGCCTTTAAAACTCTTTCCTTGTCCTTGATCCTTGCCATTTTAATTATTATGTGTCTTGGTGTTGTCCTCCTTGGATCCTTTCTGTTGGGGGTTCTGTGTAATTCCATGGTCTGTTCGATTATTTCCTCCCCCAGTTTGGGGAAGTTTTCAGCAATTATTTCTTCAAAGACACTTTCTATCCCTTTTCCTCTTTCTTCCTCTTCTGGTATCCCTATAATACGAATATTATTCCTTTTGTATTGGTCACATATTTCTCTTAGTGTTGTTTCATTCCTGGAGATCCTTTTATCTCTCTCTATGTCAGCTTCTATACGTTCCTGTTCTCTGGCTTCTATTCCTTCAATGGCCTCTTGCATCTTATCCATTCTGCTTATAAATCCTTCCAGGGATTGTTTCACTTCTGTGATCTCCTTCCTGACCTCTGTGATCTCCTTCCGGACTTCATCCCACTGCTCTTGCTGGGTTCTTGCAGGTGTGGATGTGGTCTGGATGTTGTCCTGTGTCCTGTGGTCTGTATTTTAGGAAGATTTTTCTTTCTTATATTTTCATAGCTCTATGTGTTTTTGGGAGGAGATTTCCACTGCTCTACTCACGCCGCCATCCTGGCTCCGCCCCCTGTATGCTACATTTTAAATTAGTTTTTACATGGAAATTGGGTACATCTGGGGAGCAATTAGAACCCTATCTTGAATACAACTTTTCACACAGAAATACTACAGATAACAAATAGGTCTAGTGATTGGATAAATCTTAAGAAAGTAATTGTATAAGCTATGAATCACATAGCAGAATTGAGCAGAAGGTTTCAAATCAGACCTAGGTTTAAAACCTGGATCCGTCCCTTAGCAGCTGGGTTACGCTTGGTAAATGTTTACAGATCTCTGAGCCTCGGCTTCCTCACTTGTGCGATTAGATGAAATGAAGTATTTTAAGTATCCAGCACACAGTAGGCGTATTAGTAAATGACTCTCCCCAATCTCAGATAACCACAACAAGCAACAACCACAGGCTCTCTCATCATTCTCTATGCAGTACTTCTGGAGAGTTAGGAAAAATGCCTGGAGGTAGAAAGCATCCCTTACTGGTACTAAGTAAGTGTGAAATCATGTCCCCTTTTTGTCCCAGTACCTGCTTGAGGTTTCTCATTCTTCACCTCCAACCCTCTTGAGGTCGCAAAGGAAAGAGAGACCAAGAAATTTTGTGCCGACTCAGAGTGAAAAATAAGGTAATAGAGCTAGGGGAAGGTCCTGGGCAGGGTTCTTGATAGAAAAGCCCTCCTGCCTTGGGAAAGATGAGTAATACATGAAACTAGCAAAAGTGATGAATATGAGGGGGTTCAGTGACTCTGATAAGGTACTGATATACCTGAATGACTATTCAAAGCACATTTCTGTTTGTTAAGAAGTTAAAGAACTGGTTTTTTAGAATATCTGAACTCACAGACACTAAATAAAGGTGGCTGAGAAGCACAGCAGAATTACAGAAGCAATCTACCCCACTCATAAAACAGAACATAAGACAAAGAGAAAGCTAGGAATCCAGCTTCCATACACGGGTGGGTCTCAGTCTAAAGAGTTACTTTTACTATAGAATTGTTTTCTTACCACAAAAAAGATGTCCACAGTTTGTTTCAACAGGGTAGGAGGCCTGATGTAGACAGATGGGACAGTACATGTCAGTATAGAACTGCTGTCGGGCAGCAGCAGGCACATCCTGATGAGAAAAAAACATGTACAGATTTATATCATGCACATATGGGGTTTTCCAATTATCTTCATACTAAATTATTCTTAAGAATACAGTCAATAGTGTATCACTCTCATCAATTTTTAGACGTGCCACAGTTTAAGGTCTTGTAACTTTGATAAAGTTATGAGGCTTTATAGTTGTTTAATTTAAGCTTCATGGTCTCTACCTTCCTTTTTGAATACAATTTAAAGATTAAAAACCTAGATCCACTCAGGAGTTTCTCTTTTATTCTATTAGAATGAGTAAGTTATTGTGAAGAATACAAAGCTAAGGCATAAGTTAATAAGAAATGTCAAACTACTTCCCAAGTATTCGTTTTTTATCATTCTTAACATTTTTTGTTTCATACATTTCTGACAAGTGTTTCATATATGATGTACAAGAGAACAGAATTAAACTTTCAAAGAAGTGTATTTTGTTATTTTGGAAGTAGAAAAATTTAAGACTGGTAACTTGAACTTAATCCTTCATATGGCCAGATTAGTAAATTTTAATGTTTCTCAGTTACATCACTGTTACGACTATAATAGGGATCAATAGGTGAACAGAATCACCACTATGAGAAGCATCCACATACCAAAGAACCCACTGGAATCTAAGTGCAATGAGGACAAGGACTTTATCTGTGGGACTCACCATAATACCCCAGGAGCTAGAAAAGTATCCAGCACTGGTATGTAATGTACATCTTTTAAAATACTTATCAAAACCTGTTTTATAGCATCCAGCACATATCTTATAAGCAAAGAGGCCGGCATTAAAAACATCAAATTACCAAAAAAAGATAAAATTTGCTAAATATGAGATTAATTTGAGTGAATTCATCAGTGAATTTAAGTTCTGTGAAAGCAGGAATTTTACCTGTTTAGTTCACAAGTCAATTCCCAATGTTTCAAACAGTGTCTGGCATATAGCAGATGTTTAATAATATTTAATGAATGGATAATTATAAAACCCGTTTGTAACTAACCTGATTGGTGGGTAGGAAATCAGTGTATAATTTTTGTTTTCAATGTTAGCTATTTCAGCATGAAGGTGTACAATATCCTACTCTTCACTGTAAACTGAATCAAACGTTTTCATCACCCTAAATTAATAAGCATAACTCAAATCTCGTATTTCTTAAATCAGCCCTAAAATACCAGAATGTTCTGTAAGCCAAGGTCACACCTTGATTAGTCTTTTATGTCATTTTCAATGGTGCAAAAAGAAAACCAGCACTTAACGTTCTCCTCTCAACCTTTTCTCTTCATCATTATTATTCTTTGGAAATTAATTGACAAAAGAACAATTTCCAGTGTTGGCCAAAAGAACTTCATGCAATAATGGAAAGCTTCCTTATCTGTGCTGTCCAGTATGGTAGCCACTAGCCACATGTGGTTATTGAGTATGTGAAATGTGGCTAAAATGCTGCCTTTTTAATAGTTAATATGAAATAAAATAGCCACATGACTAGGACAGCACAGAACAGGCTAGAGCTAACTGCCATGCTTAAAGAAGTCTGAGGCCAATGAACAAGACAGGCACAAAAAGAAATCTGGAAAGTCCACCTCAATCTGGGACTCTGTATAGCTGGATTCGTATAGTCCTCATGTGAATTTAAGCAAATCTTAGTTATCTCATATGTTAAATGGGAATAATAGTAGTCGTTTTACTTATCAGGTCTGGAGATTAAATAAGTTAGTTGTATATGAAAGCCGTTTGTAAACTTTGAAACACTCTCCCCACGTGAATTATTGATAACAATAGCTCTGGTACAGAGTACTACTAATATACTTAAACAATTTTTGCATCAGTGAATTTCAGTTCTGCAAAAGCAGGAATTTTACCTGTTTAGTTCACAAGTCAATTCCCAATGTTTCAAACAGTGTCTGGCATATAGCAGATGTTTAATAAATATTTAATGAATGGATAATTATAAAACCCATTTGTAACTAAACTTTGTTTGGTGGGCAGGAAATCAGTGTATAATTTTTGTTTTCAGTGTTAGCTATTTCAGCATGAAGGTGTACAATACCCTACCTATTCCAGCCTTCATTAAATGTATTACATTTCTGGTTCTTAGTGAGTCCATCGGTTAAAAGCAAAGAAGAGGCAAAGGAGAAAACTTTCATCTTTGCCTAACTAGTTTTGTTAACTTTGATCAAGGAAGGAAAAGAAAAGAAGAAACAAGCCACCCCTTATAGTCATTTCTTTGTAGGCCTATTAGAAAGAATAGTTTTTCCACTATATTTCAGGAAAGGCAATTAGACAGTGATTATTTCCTCCAAATAAATTAACAAGATAACAGTTGTCCTTTAAAGCAAGCAGGAATAAAACACACACACACACACACACACACACACACACACACACACACACATATCTGTATAAACTGACTAGTTATTTGCCTAACCTGAAAATATACAATCAACAGACTAAGGTAACAAAGCAGGAAAAAATAAAAATTATTAATGTTTCAGCACAGTTTTGTATGCAAGGGGAGTTAGTAACTCCTCCTCACACAGACACACAGATCTCTGCAGCCACAGTACCTGTTCTGTTTGAAGCTGTTCCCATATCTGTATAAACTGACTAGTTATTTGCCTAACCTGAAAATATACAATCAACAGACTAAGGTAACAAAGCAGGAAAAAATAAAAATTATTAATGTTTCAGCACAGTTTTGTATGCAAGGGGAGTTAGTAACTCCTCCTCACACAGACACACAGATCTCTGCAGCCACAGTACCTGTTCTGTTTGAAGCTGTTCCCGAAGCACCCTTACTAGCTCTTGGTTTTCTGGATGAATATTTTGATGTGCATTTCTGTTAAATAAAATACAATAAACTTTGAATATAAAATATTGTCAGATGAATCCGTTTTCTTTATAGGTCTATTTCTCAACCAAGAACGACTGGTAACTTAATATAAATGATGGCATATTCCATCATTTCCATGTACTTCAATTCCATGACTGCATGTTCCATGTTATTCTTAGGAGTTCTGAGATTACTGATTATTGGCGAATTTCAGGTTTAACTGGCAAATAATAAAACCCAGAGGCTAGTACCTGGAGGATTTAATAATTGCAGGCTTACAATAAAATAAAGAACAATTCACACATTTATTTCCTTTATGAAATTCCTTCAAAATAAGCAGCTATATAATTCTATGTATTATGCATTTGAAAACTTTTCCATAATTAACTAGGTCTTTCTCCAAACTTTTCTCCTATGAAGGGACGAGGAAAGAGAAAAAGAGAGAGCATTATTATATAATATATAAAAGCCAAAACCTGACACCATAAAGATCTTGACACTAACCATTAAAATGGAGATTCAAAGGCAAGACTAGTGGCTGATTTAAAGGATGGGAAAACACGTGAGCACTGAAGATGACTGGTGTTAGTTTGGTGGGTGAAGCTAAAGATTTACATCTGAATCACAGCTTAGTTCCATTTGTCTGTAACAGGTTTTTCCAAACTTAACATTTTTAACAGCAATATTTTAAGTCCGCACAATCCCAGTGTTATATAAGAGCCTTTATTCTCCAGGTGAACCAGTATCTATCAGCAATAAGAATCAATATCCTAATGGGACCGGTTAAAACAGAAGAAAGCCTTTCTATGATTATTCAATTTCTAGTAAAAAGAATACAAATTTTCTCAAAGAAAGCTGATAAAACATAACCATTAGTTCTAAGAAAACATAAAAACAATTTAAAGTTAAATATCCAATTAGAAGCTCAACCTAAATGTGATAAACTACTTGGACTCTGCTCAAAACAAACTCCTTAAGTTTAGGTGGATTGTTTTAAAAGGTTACATTCTTGTGACTGAATAAATGATCGAGTTAAGAAAGCTACTGCATAGCAAAAACAATATCCAGAACAGCATGGGAGCCAGCTCATTTAACATCAGTAAATACCTAGCTAACAGCATTTCTCTTCTGAGTAGAAAATGACTCCCTTTTCATGGAAAAAGACAGTCATCATGTTTTTGAGTGTAGATATAAACCATGTGACTGCAAGGTCTGTCTTTTGGTTTCTTTCCACAATAGAGAAGGTATAACATTCTTAAATCTGGTAACACAATATTAGAAAAATGGAAGTATAGCCAAAGAACAAGAACAAACAGCCTGAGATGCTGAGCATGGCCTGTAGCTCAGGTACTTGAGTGTGACTGCCAACTACGGGTTTAGAACCCAAAACCTAGAAAACAATGGGATAATTAAGATAGAGTGGAAAAGAGATTAGAACATCTCCAAAATGTCATCACCTTAGCTATGAGAAAATGACAGGACGTCTGACACTAAGTAGGTCAGGCCTAGGAAAATGGTGGTGCTAATACAGAATCAAAGCACATTTGTTATTGTACTTAGAAATGATTTATGGTCCTTCCTTGTTGTTTCAAGGTAGAAAACAAAATTATCAAACCAGTTAAGTTATATATGACCCTGGAAAGGAGCCAGGAACCTCTGATATGAGGAAACAATTATACCCAAAACCTGGGTCAAGAAAGAATGTTTGAATCAAAGTTTACGAATGTGCAAGTATGTGGTTTATAGGTCAAACTGATTACCAGGCTGTTTTGATTGGTTTCTGGTATGTCAATAAAATGGCAGCTTTTCTTAATATTTTAAGAAGGAAGAACAAATAAAAAAGTTTAAAAAGAAACTAATTATGACTGCAAAACATTGCTAAAAGAAATCAAAGAAGACACAAACAAATGGAAAGCCATCTTGTTTTTGTGGAAAGATGGAAGACGTTAAGTTTAGATGACAGGACTACCCAGAGTATTCTACCTACAGATGCAATGCAGTCCCTGTCAAAATCCCAACAGTATTCTTTACAAAAACAGAAAACCCATCCTAAAATTTATATCAGGGACTCCAAATAGCCAAAATAATCTTGAAAAAGAAGAGCATGGCCTGTAGCTCAGGTTCTTCAGTGTAGGACACACACTTTCTGACTTTAGACCTTACTAAAGCTGTAACAATTAAAACAGTGTGGTATTGACATAAGGACAAACTCTAAACCAATTGAACAGAACACAGTGTCCAGAAATAAACTCTCACATATATATAGCGATAAATGATTTTTGATAAGGAAGCCAACACTCTCCAATTGGGGGAAGAGCAATTTTTTCAACAAATGGTGCTAGGAAAACTGTATATCCAGATGAAAAGAATGAAATTAGCCTCTTAACTCATACCATAAACAAAAACTAACTCAAAGTGGATCTTAGACTAAACTTAAGAGCTAAAACTATAAAAATCTTGAAAGAAGACAAGAAAATCATCATGACTGTGGATTTGACAATGATTTCTTAAATATGAAGCCAAAAGCACAGGCAACAAAAGAAAAAATAAACCGGACTTGATCAAAATTTTAAACTTCTGTGTATCAAAGGACACTATCAAGAGAGCAAAAAGACAACCCATGGAATAGAAGAAAATACTTGTATGTCATATATCTGGTAAGTGATTAATGCCAGTATATATGAAGAACTCTCATAACTCAAAAACAAGAAATCAACCCAATTCACAAATAGGCAAAGGACTTGAGTAGACATTTCTTCAAAGAAGGCATACAAATGGCCAACAAGCATATGAAATGATGCTCAAAAGCATTAGTCATTAGTGAGATGCAAATCAACACCATGAAATACCACTTCACACCCATCAGGATGGCTATTCTCAAAAAAGCTCCAGAAAGTAGCAAGTGTTGGCAAGGATGTTGAGAAATTGGAAGCTTTCTGCACTGCTGGTCGGAATGTGAAATGGGGCGGCCACTGTGAAAAAGTTTGGAAAGTCCTCAAAAAGTTAAAAATAGAATTACCATAGATCCAGCAGTTCCAATTGAAAGCAGGAACTCAAACAGATACTTGTACACCAGTTTTGGTAGCAGCATTACTCACAGTAGCCAAAAGGTGGGAACCCAAATGTCCATCAATAGATGGATTAACAAAATGGGTTCTATACATACAATGGAATATTATTCAGCCATAAAAAAGAAGGAATTCTGATACATACTAGAACACAGATGGACCTTGAAAGGACTACATTAAGTGAGATAAGCGAGACATACAAAGATGAATATTGTGTGATTCACTTTATGAGATACCTAGAATTGGCTAATTCATTGAGACAGAAGGTAGAATAGAGGGTACCATGGGTTGGGGGAGGTGGAAGAGGGAGTTGTTTAATTGGTACAGCTGCTGTTTGGGGTGATGGGAAAGTTCTGGAAATAGATAGTGGGATGGTTATACAACACTGTGAATTGTGTATTTAAAATAGTAAATTTTATCTGTATTTTTCAATACAGCAGAAAGAATGAATTATAATGACTAAAAACATCAAAGAAATTACAGAAAAGACACCAAAAGTTCCTTTGCTTGACTTTCAAACTACACATTGCCACCCCTCTGCCAACTCATCACTAATTTATCACTAAAGTCGAAGCAACAGGATTACAATTGCCAAATGATTTTGAATCTGAAGAGCCAGACAGGAACTTAAACTGGCCTCCAGTGCTATCATATGACAGACTCAGGACAATAGCTAAGTGATGGGATGCACCTTATATAATTTGAAGTTATCCTTAGATTGAGCCAAAATCTCATCATTTCTCTGCTCCTATTGGCCTTGGTTCTCCCCATGAAGCCACACAGAATAAATCTAATACCTCTTCAACAAAGCAAGCCCTCATCATGTTTAAAGACAGCTTTTATGTCCAACAGTCTTTTCCCCTAAGCTAGATAACCCCAGTTCCTTCAAGCATTTTTATGACTTGTTTCCATAGCTTTACCCATTCTGATAATTTCCCCTGAATATTTATCAGTTTAAAATTCTTGACCCAAACTGAATATGAACCATATGTGACCTTTATGTGGTTATTTCAATTAGTTCAGTCCACAGTGTTAAGGTTTTGATATCTACAATACCTTACCTTAATAAATTACCTTATTAAATAGAAAATTTCAGTTTGGGCTTCACATCTTTCCAGTCTGTGAGGAAAAAACTTATAATACAAGTAATAGATATCCATAGTAGGGAAAATTAGAAAGCTAAGGGAAAAGAATAATATTTTAAAATAAAATTAATCTTGTAAGAAATAATTCTTAAACAACATAGGTTATTTGTGGTTTTGCGATGTGTCTTCCAATAATTCTGGCTCGAAGATTTATTGGGATACTTTCAATGACAGTACATTCATATCTGTATCCCATTCTTAAGAGGTAAAGAGCAGATATTTTATTTGTATTTGCCTTGCCATGACCCATTTTTTAATAGGTTTATTGAGACACAATTCACATACCGCACAATTTACACATTCAAAATATATTTTAATTCAATGGCCTCCAGTATATTCACACATATGTGCAAGCATTGTCATAGTCGATTTTAGAGCATTTTCATCACCTCAAAAAGAAACCCTGTACCCTTTAGCTACTATTCCTTCCACCCCCATCTTTCAAAAAGAAACCCTGTACCCTTTAGCTACTATCCCTTACACCCCCCTTTCACCCCAGTCCTAAAAAACCACTATCTAACTTCTATCTTTATTGATTCCCCATCCTGGACATTCATACAGACTCATATATGTGGACTTTTGTGTCTGGCTTATTTCACTTGGCATAATGTTTTCAAGCTTCATCTATGATATAACATGTATCAGTATGTCATTCCTTTCATAGCTGAGTAATCTTCCATTGTATGGACATGCCACATATGATTTACTCATCCACCTGTGGATGGCTATAAGGGTTGTTTCCACCTTTGGACTCTTACGAATGATGCCGCTGTGAATATTCCTGTACAAGCTTTTGTGTGGAAACATGTTTTCGTTTTCTGATAGGTATACATAGCTGGGAGTGAAACTGCTAGATCATAGGTAACTCATGTTTAATCATTTGAGGAACTGACAGTTTTGCAAAGTGGCTGACCCATTTTTACATTCCCACTGGCAGTGGTGGAGGGTTCCAATTTCTCTATCTCAACAATTGGTATTATCTGACTTTAATTCTGGACAGTCTAGGGGCTATGAAGTTGTATCTCACTGTGGTTTTGATTTGCATTTCCCAGATGACTAATGATGTTGAGCTCTGTTCATGTGCTTATTGGCTTATTCATATCTTCTTGGGAGAAATGTCTGGTCACATCCTTATTAACTGTATTATTTGGTTTTTTCTTACTGAGTTTTGAGTTCCTTATATATTCCAGATGCAAGTGCCTTATCAGATATATGATTTGAAATATTTTCTCCCATTCTATGGTCTGTTTTTTCACTTTATTGAAGATGTCCTTTGAGACAAAAAAGTTAATTTTGATGAAATCCAATCTATTTTTTTTCTTTTGTTGCTCATGTTTTTCATGTCACACCTATGAATTTTAATGATTTACTCCTATGTTTTCTTATAAGAGTTCTACAGTTTAGCCTTTACACTGAGATATTTGACCCATTTTAAGTTAATGTTTGCATATGACTTGGTGTGGGTCCAACTTCATTCTTTTGCATGTGGCTATCCTATTGTCCCAACATTGTATGTTGAAAATGTTTCCCATTGAAAAGTCTTGACATCCTTGTCAAAGGCCAGTTGACCAAAGATGTATAGGATTACCCATTTTAAAATCTTGATTCTGTGTTACCAATATCTTAGCTATATTTCCCAACCAACAATTTAATTAGCACACTTCTTAGGTCTTCATTCAAGTTGCTAACAGACATTAGTCCAGCATGTCCAAGGGCAGAGCTCTGCAACAATCCAGTGTCCTCCTTTTTGGTTCACTTAAAGCATTACTCAGTACTTCTAGGATAGCCTATAAACCAGTTTTGAATTCAGTTAAATCTGCTACCATCTGGTTACCATTTTCCCATTATGTCCACAAGTATTATCAATAGGTACTATGTAAAATGCCCTATTGAAATCACGATAACGTTATCCTAAATAGAAACCAACAATGTAGAAGTAAAAGGACCAATTATTATTATTTTTCCTAAGTGTTCATTCTGTTTAATAATCTTTTCTATAGAGAATTTGTATAGGAATTCACTGATTTGTAATTTTTCAAATTAATCTTTCTTCACTTTTATGTTTTGTCCATTTTTGTTTGAATGATATATATAAAATTTTCTCTCCATGTGTTGACACTTGAATTTCTAGTTTATAGCCTACTGTCTGTGTATTGGTATATAAACACCTGAGGCCTTTAAGTATTATTCCTAATTCTGTAACAGTAATTTTAATTTTAATCTTCATTCCCTTTATACTGTCAGTTTTTTTTTGCCTCAGTTTTTCCACTTAAAGAATGAAAATATTTTGCACTATCTACATATCACCAACATGTTGATGCATTCAATAATGAAAATTACATTTTTAAACTGTGATATTCTCATAGAAAATAATAACATTCTATTCAAAATACGGGTGATAAATTTAAATTTTATCTGATAAGACAGTTGGTGACAGGAAACATATATATGGGAGCATTTAGAACCTAGTGATAAATAAAATACTTAAGTAAATATATAGTCACTGAGATCTACTACTTGCTTTTCATATTTTAAGTGGTAAAAATTCCTAGAAGCAGTCAGAAGCCAAAAGCTTCTCTGGCCTTTGCAAACAGATTTCAATCCTTTCGCCGTTTGGTCTCACCTGAAAAGCGCATACACCAGGGTAGCAACCAAAGTGAAACTGATCACAACGGCCACAAGCACTTGGTCACTTACTCCTTCTATGACTGAGTCATCGTTCAGTTTCAGACTTTGAACTTCCCCTTGGTATTTAGCCATTCCAAGTCTAAAAGATACAAAAGTTACAAATGATACACTGAAAAGGAAATACAATAATAAAAATAACAAAACATAACTGACTTTTTTTT